GAGGCAAGTCCTCTCCACTGCCCCATCTCTTCAGTCCAGTGGCTGCCGGTTTTGATCTTGATTTCATTATTAAAGTCTGCATCTTTGCGGTCTTACCTTGTGTCTGTGTCTGTCCTATTTTAATATATTTTATATTAAAATAAGCACGGCAGCTTTTAAAAGTTGAGACTAAAGAGAGAAGTCAGGGTTCCAGGGTGTGTGTCCTGCATGTGCAAGGGCCCCAGCTGGATCCGAGCACCAAGGTCCTGAGCACTGGCCATGTAGCCTAGTCACTGCAGGGATGGCCCTGGGCACTGCCTGTGTAACCTAGTCACTGCAGGGATGGCCCTGGGCACTGCTCATGTAGCCCTACTCACTGCAGGGATGGCCCTGGGCACTGCCTGTGTAACCTAGTCACTGCAGGGATGGCCCTGGTACCCTGAGCACTGCTGAGGCTGGTTCCCTGAAACAAAGGGAAGATGTTTGTCCACAGGACACTGTGTTTATTCTAGGCTGCCTCCAAAGTGCGTGCTATTTATGAGGAAGCCCAGGAGGAAACGGGGTCCTTTGCTCCCTAAAGCAGGGAATAATCCACTCATGGACGCCAACTTGGGCCAGACTTTGAGGGGTTGGTTTTATTGTTACTGTTGTGTTTGTTGACCATGTAGCCTACTCCTGGCTCTGTGCTCAGGGGAAGTACGGCTGTGGGGATCAAACCAGGCTTGGCCATGTGCAAGGCAAATGTCCTGACCCCGTACTATTGCTCTGGCCCTGACTTGGAGGATTCTTACAACACAAAAGCAGGAAGACGCAGTCCTGCAGGTGGCATCATTGCTGTGCAGGCGGAAACCCAGACCAGGTCTCGGGCACCCTTTGGGGACCATGGTGGCCCTCAAGCCCTGTCAGGAGTGACCCCGAGCACAGAGCAGTCTTGAGTCCTGAGTTCCACTGGGTGTGGCCCAAGATCCAAAACAAAAAAACAAGCAAAAAACCACCTTAACAATGGCCCAGACAGAGTCAGTGTGCTGGGCAGGAATTTGCCCAGAACACTGACTCTGGTTCAAGCCTCGCCACCGCATATGGTCCCCTGAGCACCACCAGGACGGGTCCCTGAGTGCAGAGCCAGGAGTAAGTCCTGAGCACCGTGGGTGGGTCCCTAGCCACGGGGAGGCTTAAGAGAAGAGCCAGCGAGGCTGGAGCAGTAGCACAGTGGGTAGGGCATTTGCCTTGCACGCGGCTGACCAGGGTTCGATTCCCAGCATACCATATGGTCCCACGAGCACTGCCAGGAGTAATTCCTGAGTGCGGATCCAGGAGTAACCCTTGAGCATTGCCGGGTGTGACCCAAAAAGGAACAGCCAGGGCATCTGGGGGTGGAACAAGGAGACGGGACAGTCCCAGGGGCGCAAGCTGCTGGTTTGTGACGTGTCTGGGCTGCGGTTCTCAGATTCAGTTTTGCAGAAAAATCAGCAGCCGCAAGGTGTGTCCCAGAGATGGTCCCTGACACGGGAATGGGGAGACTGCAAGAGGAGGCGAGTGTCCCCCAGACCTGAGGGGAAGTACAGTCCTGGGACAAGACATGGTGACAGCCAACTTCTGTTTACTAGCACCTGGAACAAGCTCACTGGGGACAATTGACTTCCAGCACATTCTATGGCCTTCACTCACGATTCAGGTCCAAGTGCGGGGAGCCTTGGCGGGGCTAGCACCCACTGCAGCTCCAGAGCATCCGGCAGAGAAGAACCTGGGAGCCAGGCACATCCCTGCAGGAAGGACACCCGTCGCCCCACACTAAATTAGCAAACTGGGCCTGAAGCTAAGCATGCAGGAAGGCTTGGTTTCCTGGACTTGGATATTGCTGCCCTGGGGATTGTGTGTGTGGGGTTCAAGTGAATCTCTTCTCTTTCCCACCTAAAATAGCTGGAAAAAGGCCCGGGAGGATGGGCAGTCACTGTAAAGGAGTGAATGTGGCATTTGGCCGCTGTGCCCCCGGACCCAACATGCTACAGGAATCTGGGACTAGGTGAGAATCGGCGCCCCCCCCCCCCCCCCAGGCAGATGGATGAAAATCCCAAGAATGAGGTCCCATGAGGCTGTGGCCAGCCGAGACCCAGCTGGCGCTTCCCTGAGGGGGTGGGAGGGAGCAGCTTTGTGTTTGATTTTTCCTTCATTTCCTGTCCGTGCTGCAGCTTGTTAAGCCCTTCCGGCGGCAAGGGGGAAGAGCTGCATTTGGGTTTCTGCCACTCAGCTGCCAGCCCAGGACACCCGGAGCTTGGGTCAGCAGGAAGGAGGCCCAGGATGCGTGAAGGGTTGGGCTCAGGGCCAAAGCTGCTCCCTGGGACCTGGGCGGGACTGCAGACACCCCAATGTTCCACAGGAATCAGGCTTGAGTCTGTGGTTTCAGGCAGCTGCTCAGAGGAGGGAGGGGAAGACGGAGGAAGAGAGTAGAGGGAGGAAGGAAAAGGGGGAGGGAAGGGGGAAGGAGAGAGGGAAGAGAGAGGAGGGTTAGGGAGAAAGGGGAGGGAGGGAGAGAGGGGGAGGGAGGGAAGGAGAGAGAGGAGAGGGAGGGAGGAGAGAGAGTGGGAGAGGGAGAGAGAGGAGAGAGAGGGAGTGAGAGAGAGGAGAGAGGGAGGGAGGGATAGAGAGGGAGGAGGGAGGGAGGGAGAGAGGGGAGGGAGGGGAGACGGAAAAGCGAGGAGTCACAAACCCACTGTCCCCTTAGCAGGTGCAAGACCGTCCTGGCATGAGTGACAGGGTGACCCACAGCACAGAGGTGGGGAGGTGGGGGTCGTCTCCAGGGTTATGGGGTTGAGGACTGGGCGGTGCTGATGGGCGGGTCAGGGGCTCGTTGGCCAACAGGCTGCAGATAACAGAGCTGGGGCTCCCCGCGGGGCCTGTAACTCAGCTCAAGGCTCCGGGCGGGCGCTGGCTGCAAAGCCCTGTTTGTGTCCGAGGATCCAGAGAGACCCTTCACTTAAATGCAAGACAGCACTGCACCGCCTTTTCCTGCCATCTCTTCCTCTTTCCCTGGGCTTCCAAACTTGCTGCATCTGAGCACAAGGCTGAAGCCCTTGAAGCAAACACATGTGTGGGTAGGTGAGCACTTCACGGCGAGCACTTTACAGCCCAGCCCCAGCTCCAAAGGGACAAACCACAGGAGAAGCAGGGGGCGAATCAGACGCCATCCACGTAGCTTTTCACTTTCAAAGGACACAATAAAGTGAAGAGAAAAATGTTGACAGTTGAGCCGTCCTGTGTGAAGAGCCCGAGAGGACAGCACTCGTGTTGGCGGGAAGGCAGCCTGGGGTCGTATTCCTCTAAGCAGCAGGGCCGAGTGATGCTCCACACCGTGATTTACACAGACACTAACCACGCCCAGAGGGAGACGCCGCTTGAACAACACCCTGGCCTAGAGCACAGGTTTGGGGGCAGGTGGACCTCACACCTCAGGTGGGGGCACACAGATGGATGCAGTTTCTGTGGTGAATGGCGTGAAGCCCCCCAGAGCACCAAGCATGAAGGAGGAGTGAGTGCTGGGCATAGACCCAAGGGACACGAACACATGCAATCGTGGCAGCCTTACTCCTTACCCCAAAGAGGGCCGTGGAGGAAACTGGGATCCCCCACCTCCAGAGGGGGCCCTTCTGTCCTCTGCAGCAATGGACCCTGGGACTGTCCTGCAAAGTCAGGAACGCTGCGGGACCACAGGGCTGATTCTGCCACACGACACATAGGGAACACACAAGGCAGAAGGACAGAGCGGGACTTGCAACACCTCCACTCCTAGCATTCCCTTGGAGTTGGCAGGAATGTTCTGGAAGAAAGGAGTGTGAGGTTCTACGGCTTTGTGAAGAAACAGCCCAGGGAATTCGACACTTCCCAGGGTGAATTGTGACCACAGGAGTTGGGCGGAGCTCTGAGACAGAGATCTGTGCTGGGCTCTGTAGAGCAGGTGGGCTTTCTCGAGGCTGATGCTGAGCCTTAGGGCACGTGCCCGCAGGACACCCAACACCCTAGAGTTAGGAAAGATCACAGCACCCAGAGTCCGGCTCCTTCTCCCTCAACTGACCATTGTGCTCCCCGGGGTGCTGTGAAAGCTGCAGAAAACCCGCACCCAAGCACCCCCCCCCCCACCCAGTCACCCAGCAGCCAGCTTCCCTGTAGCCGCCTTGCCTGGTCACATGCTCCTTCCCTTGGCTCTGGAACTTTCTAGTGGACTCTAGAGCCTCCATTCCTCCATTGGAGACCATTTCCCCAGACTCCACACATGAAGAATCAGAAGCAGGCAAGAGAAGTGTTGGAACAGTAGAAAAATGTATTACAAAACTCCAGCAACTATAAATACCCAGCACGCCACTGCGGGGGGCGGGGGGGGGGGGCTGCAGCAGGAGGTGGGGGTGGGGAGGGGCAGCTCAGGCAGGCACCTACACCTTTTGAATAGGCGGTGTTTCTAGAAGGATCTCTCGGGCCCCGTAGGACACGCACCAGGGGCACGGGAAGAGATGGGGGCAGGTGGGGGTTACCCAGCACCTGAGACGGAGCACGGCAAGGAGCACCTTAGTGAGGGGCTGCTCCCGCCCTCCCCCACTTGGCCACAATCCAGCTCCTCCCTGAAGAGGCAGCCCCGGGTCGCTGCAAAGAGAAGTACTCCTGAGGGCAGGTGAGGCCCCGGAGCTGACCCAGGAGCTGGCTGTGATATCTGGTCGACCAGCTGTCTGAGAGCCTGAGTGGGGTGCGGGTTAGGGGGTCTGGACTGCACCAAGATTTCACCCAGATTCTGTATTCTGGGCCCTTCCTTCTTCCTACAAAGCATGGTGGCGCTCAGTGGTGAGAGCAGTAGCAGACCCACAGACACTGTGTCTCTTCTCCAGAGCAGCCCCCGGCTCAGACACAGGATGCCTGACCCCAGAGGTGTCGGGAGCCTGGCAGGCCCCTTCGGGAGCTGTGCACTGAGGGTAGGGACGATGCAGTTCCTTTGTGCTGAAGAGGCGTCTCCTGTCTGCAGGCAGCACCATCCCTGCTCACACATTGGACCTGGAGCAGGTCCAGCAGCACTGCTGCCCATAGAACCGGTGGGCACACATGCCATGGCGGGGCACCAGTGGGCACCAGGGGAAGAAGTCTCTGCAGAGGGCGTCTGGAAGAGCCAGCTCTAAGTTAGTCAGTATCTCTGGGCACTGCATCTAGCTCTGCATGCTCTGTCTTGGGGGCCCTAAGTGTCCAAGGGGCCACGGGAACCTGCTGTTGCCCAGACCCCTCTGGGAGGCCCTTGCAGAGCTCAGATTCCCCTTTAGTGGTAGCCTGCTGACCCAAGAGGCCTTTGCTCAGGGGTCTCCAGAGTCCAGCCCCCAGCAGAGCTGACCCTCCTCTCTTCCCCTCTTTCCTGCCAGGAAGCTGCCCTGCCCCTCCACGGGCTGTGGTGTTGGTTGAGGGTCTGAGGTGCCTCCAGGCATGGGGGGCTGTGTTTGACTTGGCTTTATTTTTTTTGCTTTGGGGGGCTGGAGCAATAGCACAGTGTTAGGGCGTCTGCTTTGTGTGCGGCCAGCCCCGGCGAGCCGGGTTCGATTCCTCCACCCCTCTCGGAGAGCCCGGCAAGCTACCGAGAGTATCTTGCTCGCACGGCAGAGCCTGGCAAGCTCCCCGTGACGTATTCGATATGCCAAGCACAATAACAAGTCTTACAATGGAGACGTTACTGGGCCCACTTGAACAAATCGATGAACAATGGGAGGACAGTGCTACAGTGCTTTTGGGGGTCACACCCAGTGATGCTCAGCGGTTCCTCCTGGCTCTGCACACAGGAATTACTCCTGGTGGTGCTCGGGGGACCATATGGGATGCTGGGAATTGAACCCGGGTCGGCCGCATGCAAGGCAAACGCCCTCCCTGCTATGCTGTCTCTCCAGCCCCTGACTTGGCTTTAAAGTGCTCCTTTGGACACAACATCACATACTGAGCTAGGAAAGAAATCGAGCTCTCTAGGTTTCTAAGCCAGAAGGGCCTGTGAGTGGGCTTGGGGAGAGCCGGGGGGAGGGGGCTCTGCCCTGAGGGCCGCCCTGTGGGAAGACAGCAGGAGGAAGGGGGGAGCACAGAGTCCAGCTGGGCTCCCTGGCCAGGGCCACCCGCTTCTTGCTCCTCTGGGAGACCCCAGGGACCTGGGTGCCCGTGGGGGCGCCAGGTGGGTGAGGGCAGCACGTCCAGTACTCACCCTTCATCCTGGGCACTGGGCAGAAGTATGTATTGCAGGCCAGGGAGGCCGCGGGCTTCTGGGGCAGGGGGCAGTCGGGGGCCGGCCGGCCGCCCCGCAGACACTGCACTGACCGCCTCTGCACACCACCCCCACAGCTGGCTGAGCACTGCAGGGAGGGGAGGGTCGCCGGTTACCTGGGCCACCCTGTGACCCTCAGGCATGGCCCCCACACAGCTGCAGAGCCAAGAGGCACTGAGGCCGGATGGGGGGATGGCTCTGGAAGGTTCTGGAGTCACAGGTGGTCTGAGGGACGCGGGAATGTGGGGCACGCATGGGGGTAAGTGGGGTGCAAGAGGCAGGAGGACCCGTGCCAGCGGGACACCACCACGGAGCGATCCTGGGCTGCTGGTGGTCCACCAAGCCCCCCTTGGGGGTCCCAGGTCACCAAGTTTCCTTCTGGACACCGTGGAATCTCACAGGGAGGGGGGCCCCCATTAGCCTCTGAGCTGAGCCACCCCAAGGCCTCTTCCTGTTGCCCCCACTGGGGTACCAGGGCCAGGGAGGAAGGGAGGGCAACTCCCTGTCAGTCGCATGGGTCACCCACACAGCAGGCACGGTGGTCTCTGAGACCAGCTATGGGAGGAAGCGGGGCCAGGGGCTGCAAGGGACCGTCCAGGGGCAGCCAGGAAGGGGGACAGGGCAGAGCAGGACCCCTGGTTTGGTGGAGCATGAGGAGGCATGGCCACTCTCTGGACAAAGGGAGGGACATGGGGACCTTGGACAACCCTTGGCACCTCCCTGCCCGGAGCACGGCCAACCCTGTCCCTGGAGCCCAGAGGCCTTACCTGAGACCAGGGGGTGGCGAGCCAGGTGGCCTGCAGGGGCCCCCCACCCTGGGCAGGTGGGGAGCAGGGACCCTCGCTGCAGGCCTGCTCCAGCTCCAGGGTGGGGGGCCTCAGGGGCCCGCAGCTCTCAGTGGGCAGCTCACGGTACTTCCCAGAAACATACTTCTCGGCACACCTGCGGACGCGCCTCTGGGTCCCCGAGCCACAGGAGGCGGAGCACTGGGAGGGGAGAGGCGGGAGCAGGCGTGGGGCCTGGGCTGGCAGGTGCCGCATTGGGAGTTACAGGGGTGAGCGTTTGGGTGTGTGCCCATGTGAGTGTGTGCCCTGCGTGACCCCCTGGGTGCGGGTTTGTGCGTGTCGGTGAGCTTGTGGTATGTGCGAGGGCCTGGCTGGGCCGGTGGGCTCAGGCGGATGACGCTTCCTACTGCTTGTCTCAGCCCTGCACTGCCTCTGCCTGTCCATCCTGCCAAGGAATCCCCACTCCAGCGGGGGGGGGTCCAGGGGTGGGAGTGGGGGTCACGGCCTGCACCCGCTGGTGCACACCGCAGCAGGGCTCCCTCCTCCATGGGCTGTCACACCCCATCTCCTGGCTCATGTTCACCCTCCCTCCACTCCAGCTGCAGAGGCAGAGGGACTGGGGGGGGAGGGGGTTCTCCAGGAGGAGGGCCCTTGTGGGACTAGTCCCGCCCATCCGGGGACTAACCCAGCCTACCTGCGACCAACCCCATCCACCTGGAACCAGCCCCGCCCACCTGCGACCAGCCCCCGTCCACCTGCGATAAGCCCCGCCCACCTGGGACTAGCCCCACCTTCTACCTGGGACCAGCCCCATCACCCGAGCACTGAGCCCTGCGTGGGGAGCCGGCGTCTCACCCCCAGTGGCCGGGCATGGATGCCCTCCCCTGCCAACACCATGCATCTGCCATGGACCCGCCTTCCTGCCAGCCTCCTGGGCGCTGTCTGGAGCCCCCCCAGCCCTCCTCATCTGCGGTCCATCTGCAGGGACCCTCTTGTCCCGCCCCGTTTCTTGCCCTCCTGGGCTCACCGGGTGACCCAGGAGAAGTTGCGGGTGACCCCTAAGGAGATGTGGCAGAGACCCTGAGCACAGTGGACCGCTGAGCGTGGGGTGCAGACTCAGGAAGGGATACAGGAAAAGGAGAGGGCGCAGGGAAACCCAGGAGGACAGGCAGCCTCGGGGCACTGATGGTGGCCGCTGGGTTTGACCAGCGCCGCCCACTGGGGACCAGCCCCGCCCACCTGGGGGCCAACCTCAACCACCTGGGAACAACCCCACCTTCTACCTAGGACCACCCCATCCACCTGGGACCAGCCACACCTCCTACCTAGGACCAGCCCCATCCACCTGGGATCAGCCCTGCCCCCTGGGACCAATCCCACCTTCCACCTGGGACCAGCATCGCCTGCCCGGGTCCAGCCCCCCGCCACCCACCTGGGACCAGGCGGACACCAGCCACTGCAGCTTCTTGGGCCTGGGGCAGCGTCTCCGCACGCAGGGCTCATGGGCGCTGGGCCTGGGCTGCGGGGCGCAGTGGGCGTCGGGCAGCAGCGCCTCTTTGGGCGAGGCGGGGTCTGAGCTCCTGCAGGCCACGGTCCGCTTCCGCCAGCCCTTCCCGCAGGGCCGCGAGCACTGCAAGGAGGAGGGCGGTCAGCTCCACCAGGGAGGCGCTGCCGGGCGCACCGGAAGGGCCCGACCCCCGGCGACCCCCGGGCCCCCTCCACTCACCTCTGCCCAGGGCCCGGTGCCCCAGACGGGCGGGCAGCTGTGCACCTGGCAGGCGCGTCTCCGGGAGGGCGTGGGTTGTGGACACAGGCCGGCAGGCAGCGGCTGCAGCTGGCGCCGGGCACGGCGCACGCAGTCCACAGCGCGGCTCTGCGTGCCCCCGCCGCATGTCCGGCTGCAGGTGCTCCAGCTCCCCAGGGACCAGCTGCGGGGAACACGGAGGTGAGGGCCAGGCCCCTGCGCCCAGCCCCTGCGGTGACCAGCCCCGCGTCCACTGGAGGCGCCCTCCCCGCCAGAGCATCTTTGCAACAGAAGCTGGACACTTGTCGCCAGTCACTCTCACGGCAAGCATCTTCCTGGCGATGCTCAGTGCTCACTTCTGGCTCTCACCCAGGAACCAACCCCAGCAGTACTCGGGGACCCAAAGGGATGCGGGGGATGGCATCCGGGTCGGTGCATGCAAGGCCAGCGCCCTCCCTTCTGTCCTAGGGCTCCCACTCCCAGACAGTGTCTGAAATGGAAACTGGACACTCGCTCACACCAAGTCCCTGAGTCCTGCCCGTGTCCCTGGTCGCCCATGCCAGCTCCAGGCACTGAGCTACCTCAGAAAGCTCTTGGAGAGGATTCACGGGAGTGGGGGACACCGGGGTGTGCTCAGCACCCTGGGGAGTCTGGGGACCCTCTGTGGGACCTGACCATGGCCGGCATGTGGACGGGAAGTGGGGAAACTGGTTGCAAAGGTCCTTCTGCCCGCCCCCACCCAGGTGCCCGCCGGCTGACCCTCATATCTCCAGGCTCCCTCAGGCTCCGGGCACCCCCCTCTCTTGGCCCCTGGCTGCCTGCCATGCCTTGCTGAGCTTGGCCAGTGGTCAGCCTTTTCTGGGGCCCAGGAACGCGGAGCAGGGAAAGCACCCCACAGCAGCTGGCTGGCTGGGGCGTGGGGTCACGGGCGGTGATTAAATGTGGCGCCCCTGCAGACGGGAGGGGAGAAACTCCAGAAGCTCCGCTGAGCCTTTGGGATGACTCGGGGCAACAGAACATGAAGCAGAACAGCAGTCAGAGCATGCCTGACAGGGGCCGGGGAGACACAGGGAAGTCACACACGCAAGCAACTGCAGCTGCGCCCAGCTGTCAGGGGGAGAGGGGCCAGCAAGGCCTGCCCGTGCCCTTGACGGACAGTGTCCAGGCGTGTGTGTGCTCAGGTGGTCTCCTCTTCACCGTGGGCTGGACCGGGGTGTCGCTCTGTGGGCGGGACCCCCACCTCCTCCCCACTGGGCTTGTGAGAAAGTGGTCAGAGACGTGTGATAGAGGCAGGACCACCCCAGTGACCCAAGCGTGGGTGTGGGCAGCCTCAGTCCGCATTTGCCAGCCTGGTTCCACAGCGGCACTGGCAGACAGACTCCTAAGGCAGTAGCAGAGGTGTAGACAGCGACTGAGGGAGCAAGGGCCAGCAGTCAGCAAGGCATGCCCAAAAGTAGCAGGAGGAGGAGGAGGGGCAGGGCGGCAGCAGGGAGGGGGTTAGCACCCTGGGCATAGGGCAGGCCCGCCAGGCCCGAGTCCTTGGATCACCATAGCTGAGTGCAGTGCCCTCCCAGGCGGGGGAGTCCTCAGAGCATCACAGCTGAGTGCAGTGCCCTCCCAGGGGAGAGAGTCCTCAGAGCATCACAGCTGAGTGCAGTGCCCTCCCAGGAGGGGGAGTCCTCGGAGCATCACAGCTGAGTGCAGTGCCTTTAGGCAGGGGAGTCCTCAGAGTATCACAGCTGAGTGCAGTGTCCTCCCAGGCGGGGAGTCCTCAGAGCATCACAGCTGAGTACAGTGCCCTCTCGGCGGGGGAGAGAGGCACAGATGAGTCAGGCTACATTCCCTGCTGCACATGGTCTGCAGCTTGGCTGTTGGGCCCTTGGTTCCTGCATGGATTCTACAAGATCTCTGGAGGGCCACCAGGTGGCATCAGTGACAGAGGCCAGAGGTGAGTTGGAGATGGTGCCACACCAGCCTGTGTCTGCCTGAGAGAGCAGGGCTGCTAGGGAGAGCCCAGGTGAGGGCTGGCCTGGTGACCTGCTGCTCCTGCAAGGGCAAGAGACCGGGCACCAGCCCGTCAGTGCTCGAAGAGGGGAACGGGCAGGCTCAGTGCCCCCTGGCCAGAGCACCGGGTAGCTGGACTGTCTGGCTGTGGCACTTTCTCCAGGATCACCTCAGAGGACCCCCCCCCCAGGTGGAACCCAGAGACCCACTGAGGGTGCAGGCCTGTCCCAGGCTCCTGGGAGTGACCTCTGGCATGCACAGGTCACTGCAGCCACCCCTGAGTGACATCCACGGGTAGCCTGAGTTCCAGGGCCCCTACTCACAAGGACACACACAATCCCATTTATGCCAACCCCGACTTATGCCCACCCCCATATGCACATGCACACATCCTCACACACATTCACACAGTCACACACACATCCTCACACTCACACACATTCACAAACTCACACAGTCACACACGTCCTCACACTCACATTCACACACAGTCACACACTTCCTCATACACATTTACACACTCACACTCATACACACACATACATCCTCACACAGCCACGTTCACACGCATCCTCACACAATCACACACTCACACAGTCACACATGTCCTCACACATCCTCACACACACAGACTCACACATATCTCACTCATACATTCACACTCACGCATTCAAACACACATATTCATACGCACACACAACACACACAATCACACATGCACCCCCACACACCCTCACCCCTCACACACATGCACACACTCACACCCACCACCACACTGTGGTCTTCGTGCTTGCCCTTAAGTTCTGGCCCTGGTCTTTGTCCCCGGGTCTCATGGACGCAGGCAATTTGCAGCCTGTGGTGGTTCCTGCCTGGCCCTGCCCACCCTGGGTGTCAGTTGGCTGGGTGGAGGGGCAGAGGGCATGCGGGCAGCATGGCTTCATACTCAGCCCCAGAGTCCCCTTGTGGCATGCCTGGCCAGTCCGGTCCCGGGAAGCCCAGAGGCCCGTCCAGGGGCTTCATCAGGTGTGGAGGCTTTGATTCGGGACCTGTGGCATCTACACAGAGGGGAGCAAGGGACAGCTGAAGGCCGGGCGCTGCCACCAGAGCTGGCCTGAGAGCCCATAGGCCCCTTCCTGTGGGGACGGGACCTGGGTAGGTAAAACCACCAGCTGGGAGCCCACCCATGCCTGGGCAGAGGGGCGCCCATGGCATGTTCACCCCACAGAGTGCCCTCCCTTGTGCCCACCAGTTGTCGGGCACCCGCGGCTCCGTGCCCCTTGTCAGTCTCGCCCAGTGAGAGCAGATGTGGGGCAGCTGGGTGGGGGTGGCAGCAGAGAAGAGGAAGCCCCCCAGATGGACTCTCACCCTTTCTCTGCCCCTCGCCTGTGCCGTCAGATGGCAGGACAGCAGGGTCCTCACCCGGGCACCCTCGGCCGTGGCTGGGTCCCCTGAGAGACTCGGGAAGCAGGGGGGACATGTGGAGAGCTTTCAGACTAGGATTGTGTGCACCAGGCAGAGCTTGGTGCAGGGACAAGCTGGGCCATCGTCCACTGGCAGCCAGCAGACGGGGAGGGACAGGACCAAGATGCTGGTCTGCAAACCTTTCAAACAATTCTCACCCCCCCCCCCCCCCCCGGCTCAGGAATAAACCCACTTTCACGCTAACAGCCAAGAGACCAGACACATTCCGGGGGGCCCCGCTGGAACCTGGTTCTGCTGACCCCTCTGATCTGCAGCTCTCGGTCACTTGGGCCCCGGGACATGGTGAGCAAACACTGAAAGCATCCAGGAGCCCACACACAGCGCAGGCCCAGGCCCCTTACCTGGGGGGGCAGGCGGAGTTCCCGCAGGGTAGCACGCCCGCCGCTGGCCGTGTGGCAGGGTTGCAGAAGGACGCATCCACCGGGTCCCTCCAGTCTTGGTAGCAGCGTTCTCGTGTGGTCAGGTGGCCTGCGTGCGGGGGACTCTGTCGGGAGGCAGCATGCGATGGGACGTCCCCAGCCCCAGCTCGTGGCTTCCTGGGGCCCAGCCCGCGGCCATGGCTGGAAGCAGCAGTGCTCACCACGTGAGAACCGCGTCCAGCGTGATCCCCGCCCTCAACAGCTCCAGCTCAGAGCAAACCACAGCTGCTCCCTTGAGTCCCCTCCTCCCTACGGGCAGATGGGAAGCACCAGCAGGGCATGGACATCTGACCGTGTCCCAGCAGGGCAGGTGCGGGCATCAGGGGCCAGAGTGGCTGACTCCGTGGTCCACCAGGCCTGGCCCTCCGGAACCCAGATTCGGGGAGTGGCTGAGTCCCTGCAGGCGCCCGAGGGAACTCAGGCTCTGTGGCACAGCAACTGTGTTGGCACAGCTCCGTCTGGCCTGAGGGCTAGGCCTGGCCCCTGGGCTGCCCTGAGCTGGGCGGGGCGGGGCGTACCTCCTCCACAGGACACAGAGCACGCGGATGGGACCAGCACCCAGGAGTAGTTGTGCTGGGTGCTGAGTGTTTCTCCCCTGACCCGGGGCACTGAGTACTCCCAGCCGATGCCTGGGTTTCTGCCCTGGAACAGCAGCTGCGGAAGGAGGAAGAGAGAGAGTGGGGCAGGAGCGATAGCACAGCGGGGAAGGCATTGGCCTCGCACGCGGCCGACCCGGGTTCAATTCCCAGTATCCTGTATGGTTCCCCAAACAGCACCAGGAGTGATTCCTGAGTGCAGAGCCAGGAGTAACCCCTGTGCATCGCCGGATGTGACCCAAAAAGAAAAAAAATAAAAGGATGGAAAAGAGAGATGTTGGGGGGGGGGGAGGGCAGGGGGTGGTACTGAGGTGCTGACCAAACCGAAATCATGCAAGTTTGTAAGTTTGTAACTGTATCTCACAGTGATTCATTAAAAAAAGAAAGATAAGTAAACGGGACTACATTAAATTAAGAGGTCTCTGCACCTCAAAGGAAAAGGATGATCAGAATACAAAGACAGCCCACAGACTGGGAGACACTATTTGCCCATCACTCATCCAATAAAGGGTTAATATCCAAGATAAATAAATCACTGATAAAAAAAATAAAATGAATTATAACTATACACAATATGACTTTGGAAGTTAAATATACATAAACATAGTATCTTCAGTAGAAATATTTAATTTTCCAAATGTGATATACTGACATCTTTGGCAGTGATATACTGTACATTTCTTGTATAATATCTGCAGCAATTGTTGATTTCTGGTTTTGTATTTGTGCTTCCATATAAATAAAAAAAAGTTGTCACAAAAAACCACGGCCACTCAAAGTCCATTACAGTTTCCTCAGGGCTCCTGATGTCCACTGACTCTGGCTTCCTCATCAGGCCCGAGCTCCCGACTAGACATGAACATTCTAGAACAACGTGCAGGTGTGGACTCTCGTGTGAGGCATGCAGGAAAGGGTTCTCGAGGCTTCCAGAGACTTCTAGAGACTTCTGCATCTGACAGACTCTGCCCATCTCCCCATGTGCGGGGTCCCTGCTCAGTCTTCCCCGCGTGTGCAGATGAGCCTGGAGCTCTGTCTCCCTTCTAGTACGTTCCCTGGTGCCTGCCCTCACTGTAGACTGCGAGGCCGGAGCCTGCCCTGGGACCTGAGGTGCCCCTTGCAGTTCCTGAGGCTATCCTGGCCTGGGCCTGGCCAGAGGACAGCGCCCACCCACAGGTGGGTCAGCCCTGATTCTGTAAGAGGTCACAGCCACCCTGTGTGGGCCAGGCAGGAGGCTGCCCTGGGCTGCTGTGCCCTGCACTCGCCCAGGACACGCTGCCGCTCCCCCAGGCCAGGCTCACTGTCCACCTCAGGGAGCGTCCACACCAAGGCCCGGGACAAAGGAGGCAAGCTTCGTCTTTTGTGATGGGCACCATGCCCCCACCACAGGAGGGCACAGAAGAGGAGGGAGGGTGGGCAGCAGACGGACCAGCTTCCATGGCACGTACAGCCCGACTCAGACCCTGCAGAACGCATTTGCGTGAGGGCATTTGAGGCCATTCCACAAACCTTTACAAGGCCTGTGTTATCTGATCGCTCGTCCCCCAGTCACCCACACCAGCGATGCAGGTAGACCTGAATTAGTTGTTCCAACAGGGTGATCTCCTAGGGTTCGACCAATCGAAGAGAAGGAACTCTCCTGGGGCCCATAATATATAAATCAGGTCAGGTGTGGATGAAAGAACAAAGAGAGGAGCGCTTGGGCAGGGGTGGAGCGGGGGGTGGGGCTCTAGAGGGGACAGCCATGGGGGCTGCCCTGGAGGAGGTAGCTTCGGTTGGGGGGGGGGTGGGCTGTTGAATGCTGAGCTGAGCCGGAGAGGCCCAAGGTGCTGAGCTGACTTCAGGTCGCAGCCTGCCATGATGGAGCTCAGCCAGCCATGGGTTCTCACCTGCTCCCAGTCCCTGAGGCCCAGTGGAACGCCAATTCCATGTCAGTCAGCCACAAACAGGGCCCCCAAGATCTACCTGGCTCACCACAGTCTTGGCGCTCACAGAAGGAAGGGGCTTATACAAGGCACCACGGAGGACTCAGAAATCAGTGTTAGTGGGAAAGCGTGTGCAAATCTACTCACGTGAGTTTAGAATCGGATTGTGATGCAGGCCACGCTCCACTCTGCTAGCCTGCGCACCAGCAAGGTTGGCTTCTGATACGCCAACTGTAAGGAAGCGCCCCAGCCCCCGCCCGGTGCCCTCCAGGTCACGCCAGACCCTCGGCGCTGCAGAGACGCTGGGAGAGCCCCTGCCCAGACCACGGCAGACACTCACCTCCACTATCAGGGTCTCGTTGGTGGGCCCGGGGGCGCTCAAGCTCTCCGGCTCCTTGTCGGACCTCCTGTAGTCAAAGGTTGTGCCTGAAAACTTGTAGTGTCCTGGCCAGTCCACAGCCCAGTGCCCGTTGAGGTGGTACCGGTGGCGGGCACTGCGCACAGCGATATAAGAGTTGGAGGCATTCAGCTCGTAGACACGGATGCTCCGGGCACCTGTGGGGATCACCAGCATCTGGGAGTACTCTGGGGAGGAAGAGAAGAGGGAGGACTCGGCACGGCGGACTCCAGCACCCGCACCCAGAAGCTGGCCTGGTCATCAGCCACAGGAATCCTTCACAGGACTCACGAAATCTTCAGGAACAGCAGTGACAGAGTTCCCCGTATGTGTCCGATTCCTAAGACTGCTCATTCCCATGGCCTAGCCATCATTTCCACTCACGCCAAGGACTCGAGACGCATGGCTTTCCCGAGAGAGGGGAGAGTCGAAGCCTTCCCAGCCACCCCTCCCGACGCCCACCCCTCCCCTCGCACCCAGACTCACCGTGCTCGCGCGGCTGCTTGGCGTAGAGACCCTTGTGGGTCGTGCACCCTGAGTTGTTTCCCCTGCACACACCACAGGAGTCCTCCACAGCGCCGGAGCCCAGCACATGGTCACAGCCCACTCTCTGGGCCCAGGAGGTCAGAGTGTTTATGGAAGAGAAGACAAGACGGGCCAGGTCACACATCGCAGGAGAAACCTCCTCCCTGCTCCAGGTGAGAAGGGACCTGGGGAGTTAGCAAGGGCCACCAGCCCACCAGCCTCAGCGGGGAGCCCTCAGTGCTGAGCCCCAGGGAAATGGCGGGGCTGAGGGGTGGAAACAGGGTAGGGGGTGCTGAGCTGGGGCCACACGGGCCCTGGGAATGTCGCTTTCTTCCTGAATTGCCTTGTGCAGGGACAGAAATGTGCCCTGTGCCACATGGAGCTGATTTGGGGGCTGGAAACTATATGGAAGGGGCATTGAGTGTGGGCTGTGTGCGAATCCTCGAGTTGCTTAGAACTACACCAAGCCGATCGTCTGGGGGTGCTGGTGAGGGAAGGAACAGCCCTTCTTACCTCACACCTCCCGTCCACACACACATTACGGCTGTCCTCCCGGCAGGGGGTCCCGTCTTTAACTTTATTTGACAAAGAAAAGAAGAAATCAAATCCTTCTGCGATACAGTAGAGCTTGCATGAGTCCTGATCTTAAAAAGAAACACACAAATACAAAAGATACTCAGCGCCAGTCATTTCTGCTCTAAATTTTAGTACTTTCCCCCTTTCTGCTCATAAATTCACTTAATCACTTAATCACTTAAGTGACACTACTTCCACTACCCAGCCATTGCCCCACACAATAAGACATTGCAAAAACGTTTTTCAAGGCCACCTAATGCTGCTTTATCTTTGCCTGTCATTTTGTCATTTTAACGATGTTCAAGCTCTTCTAAGGATTTTGACTCTATCATGTCCTTTCCAGCTCTTAACTCTCCACATGGAGGCTGGCACATAAATATTCAATAAGTATTTCCTGATTCCAAATGTAACTTTTTTTACTGTATAGCAATCTCATGTCTAGAGGATTTTGTAAGGAGAGGTTAAAATTATTACAAAGATCAGTCCAAAATAATCATGTTTCTTAATCATTTATAAATTTGGTAAAATACATAATATTGCAAAACTCATAAGAAGAATTTTCATTTCATCATCCTGTTATTCGTCGATTGCCTCGAGCAGGCCCCAGTAACGTCTCTTTCATCCTAGCCCTGAGATTATATTCAAGGCTAATTAGGAGAATGAGACCCATCATTGTTACTGGTATCTGGCATATTTGGTACACCACGGGGAGTTTGCCAGACTCTGCCCTGTGGGCAGGCTACATTCGATATGATCTTAATTGATCATAAGAAGAATATTTGATAAAACTAGTCGTATGTTTGATAAAACTAGTCGTATAGAGGAACTGATTTTAGTTTGAGGTGAAATAGTCAAAGTTTTCTATAAATATTATGAATTGTCAAAAATGGAGCTGGGGGCAGGGACTACTTGTGTCTTTATGTACCTAAGAACTGAGAGATCGTATTCATTTTCCAGATGATCCTTGCCAGAAATCTATGGACTCAATAAACTCCTGTGGGAACTTCCTTTCCTTTAGTTCTTTGCAAGGTGACCCAGGAAATCTCCAATGATGAAAAATTTGCCTTAGTGCATTTTTTTTTGGCACCACACTTGCCCACACTTATTTTCTGTCTTGTGAGGGATCGACACCAACAACACAATTCTAAGACTCAAACTTTGCCTGAGCTTCAGCAATGGATGCATTTATTCACTAATGACCACCTGACTCAGGAATAGAACCTGCGGTTTGGACCCTGGTTTCAACATGAATGGCTTTCTCCTGTCCCTTTCTCTTTGGTATAATTTTACTGAGTTTAGGAGTAAAAGCATCTTCAAAAATGCTTTGTGTGAAATTTGTGATTTTCCTTCCAGAATTTACTGACTTCACAGAATGCTCCCATGAACACAGTCCATTTTGGGGGACAATGAAATGTGTTTTAGGTCAAACTGGACCAACTTAGCTACTCAACACATTACTTCTCAAGCACTGCTCAGACAATAGTCTCAGCCTCACAGAGTAAGACGTTTGAGTGTCTTCAAATTTATCTTCAAATTATGCCATTTTTGAAGTACCAAGATCCAGTTATGACACTCCCAAGAATCATCCACATTTCTCTGGAGAGTCGAGCCTTCCTAGGGGAGAAGCCAGTTCCTGGGTTTATAGTCCTGCCCAGAACTTTCTGAATAGAGCTCACTAGAAAGTCACCCAACTTTCCAGGAGACACCAAGATGTTTCTTTTACTCTTGGGTAATATTAAGTCTTCAGCTGATGGTTGAGAGTTTGTAATGACAATTTGTGATCAATGGGTGACTTCCAATGCGAGATTGATGGGGCATGTTTGTCCCTTCTTTGTTGATGTGTCCATCTCGATGGTCCAGACTGACCCCACGGCCAGCTGTGTCCAGGGAGAATTCCACCATGGAGGTGATGAGAACCAGAGTCCCCCAGGGGTCTGCTTTGGACAGTGGCTTCCCAGGCAGCATCTGGTCAGCTGACACCCGGCTCAGCCAGGCACCCAGGGGGTCATGCTGGCAGACTCACCTGGCACCTGCGTGTATGGCTTCCACTTGTAGTGCCGCCCTCGGAACTGCTTCCTGTCGTGCTCTGCACACTGCAGGGCCCGGAAGTCAGCACTACCTGGGGGACACGGCTGACGGTTGCAGAGCACCAGGACCCGGGACGCACCCTCACAGAACTTCCCTCTGGGTGATGGTCTGCAACAAGGGGTGGGTGTGAGTTTGAGGCCCCTGGGAGGACCTGTGGGGGCCTGCCCACTCCCCAGGCCCCACGTGTGATGAGGCAGCTGTGACCTGGCTGCCTCTGAATCAGATGCAGGAGTGGAAAGGCCCTTCTGCCCACCCCGGGCTGATGGCACCCACCCCCAGGCTCCCAGCAGGCGGGGCTGGGTGCACACCACACATTGGCAGGAGCCTGGCACCCGTGGGGAACTTGTCCTTGTTTCCCCCATGGCAGTTCTTAGTCTCCAGCCTGCCCTCTCCTCCTTCCCTGAGGAATCCCTACAAGCCACCGGAAAGCCACAGAAACCCACACACTGATGATGCTGTAGGGGCTGCCTGTCGCACAGGGCAGGTGGTCGCAGCCACCACTATGGGATAGGCTGGGTGGGGTATCCTACAGTCCCAGAGAAGATCGGGATGCAGCAGGGGCCCGGGGCAGGTTGAGGGGTACCTACCTGGGGTTCGAGCAGAGGCGGTCTCTGTGAGACACCCCTCCTCCACAGGTCCTGGAGCAGGGGGACCAGGGAGACCAGTCGGACCAATGGCCGTGGGTAGCCTGGGGGCCTTCATCCCCATGCTTCACACACTGCCCCCCACGGCACCACTGCGGAGGGAAATGACACAGCTGGAGTTACAGCACAGAGCCAGGCTCTCGGCAAACAGCCGCACACCCAGGGTCTGGCCAGGGCAGCGCTGGCTGCGCCTGCCTGAGAGCCTGGGAGCAAGCCCTACTCACAAAACTCTAAGAAAATCCACTTTGAGAGTCTGAAAGGAGAGTCTGAAACCCTAGGCGCCATCCTAGGGTGACGGTGGGAACAGACAGGCATCACACACACATGCCTGGGCATACAGGTACCCACACACGCAGATACAGAGAGAAGCACATGCGTGCTTACACGTACACGCACACACACGCACAATCCCAGGACTGCAGCAGCAGGTGGTGCAAATATACACTGAGCAGTTGCTGCCTTTCCTTATCACCTGCCCTGTCCGCCCTGTCCCATACAGCACACACAGGAGGGTGAGAAATGACACGTCTAGTGTCTGTGCGGCCGGCCCCACTGCCCCTCCCCCACGGCCAAAGGGGAGGTGCTGAGCACTTGGTCCTCCGGCTGGGGAGTCATGTGACTCTCACGCTGCAGGGTGGGGGCCTGAGCCCCAGGAAGCAGGACCAGCTGCACGTGCCAGAACACGCTGTCTCATAAGTGGGGTACCAGGTGATGCTTCCATTCTCTTTTTTTTGTCATTTGGTTTTTCTTTTTTTTTTTAAAAAATTTTTATTAGTGAAACACCATGAGGTACAGTTGTAGATTTACAATTTTTGGGGCTTGGGTTTCAATTATACAATGATCGAACACCCATCCCTCCACCAGTGCCCATTTTCCACCACCATGGGTCCCAGTATCCCTCCTACCCCCCATTTCCCCATCCCACCCTGCCTCTGTGGCAGGGCATTCCCTTCTGTTCTCTCTCTCCTTTTGGGTGTTGTGGTTTGCAAAAGAGGCATTGAGTGGCAATCACATTTGATCTATAGTCAGTCTACTTTCAGCATGCTTCTCCCATCCTGGGAGGATCTTCCCAACACCCTTTATTTGGTGCTCCCTTCTCTATCTGAGCTGCCCTTTCCCCTAGAATGCCCAGCTGGCCTCTAAGCTATGGAGTAATCCCCCTGGTGCTGATCTCAGCTATTCTTGGGTATTAATCTCATATTTTGTTACTTTATATCCCCCAGATGAATGCAATCTTTCTATGCCTATCCCTCTCTTTCTGACTCATTTCGCTTAGCATGATACTTTCCATGTAGTACCACTTGTATGTAAATTTCATGACTTCATCTTTTCTAACAGCTACATAGTACTCCATTGTGTAGATGTACCAAAGTTTCTTTAACCAGTCATCTGTTCTCAGGCACTCAGGTTTCTTCCAGTTTCTGGCTATTGTAAAGAGTGCTGCAATGAACAAACAAGTGCAGATGTCACACTGACTACACTTTTTTGCTTCTCTGGGATATGTTCCCAGGAGTAGTATTGCTGGGTCAAATGGGAGCTCAATTTCTAATTTTTTGAGAATCGTCCACACTATTTTCCAAAAGGGCAGAACCAGTCGGCATTCCCACCAGCAGTGAAGGAGGGTCCCTTTCTCGCCACATCCGCGCCAGCACCGCTGATGCTTCCATTCTTAATCAACCTACTTGATACAGTGGATCAAACAGCTGACAAATGACTGTGGCTGACACGGGAATGACCCTGGCACATGGTTGAACTGCTCAGGAGAGGAACTGTATCTAAAAGCCTAAGTGAGACGGGAGAGACATCACAGCAGGGAAGGCACTTGCCCTGCATGTGGCCGACTGATATGGTCCTGAGCACTGCCAAGAGTGATCCCGGAGCACCACTGGGTGGGGCATGAGCACTGCTGAGGACCCGCCAATCACTTCAGTCCTCGACTTGCTCACCACCAGCACCTTGAGTGTCTGTCTCTGCCCCAGCAGCGTTAGTGACAGTGATCGCTCGGTTAAGAGAAGAGTGTGAGGTAGCCTCTGAGTGAGTCTCAGGAGTGACTGAGGGTTTCACGTCCCCACTGGGAAACAGACTCAGTAGCCACTGGTTGCCTGTCCCCTGATTCCAGCTGATGCATCGGTTACAACTGTAGTACTGTAGCACTGTCCTCCCATTGTTCATCGATTTGCTCGAGTGGGCACCAGTAACGTCTCCATTGTGAGACTTGTTACTGTGTTTGGCATATCGAATACACCAAGAGGAGCTTGCGAGGCTCTGCCGTGCAGGCGGGGTACTCTCGATAGCTTGCTGGGCTCTCTGAGAGGGAAGGAGGAATCGAACCTGGGTCAGCCACGTGCAAGGCAAACACCCTACCCGCTGTGCTACCGCTCCATACATCAGACAGATGTACAACATCAGATAGAAAGGGGCTCGCCTCTGAGTGCTAGTGTGAAGGACCGAGCTCTGGGCCTGGTGGGGGGGGGCACGTGCTCCTGTTTATGAAAGATTATGATTAAAAATGATTAAAAAATGCTCATGGGACAGGACAGATAGTGCTGAGATGGTGTTGCATGCAGCTGACTGGGTTCGACCCCTGACACCACATATGGTCCCTGAGAGCACCACCAGGAGTGGTCCCTGAGTGCAGGGCCAAGCGTCATCCCTGAGCACTGCCAGGTGAGGCCCCAATACAAAGAGAAGTTTCAGCGGCCAGAAGGAGGATGAAGGAGCCAGGAGTCTGGCCACACTGAGCAGCCTCTTACCATCTCATGCCCACAGCTGGTGCCCTCTGCGGCTGGCATGAACTTGGTCTCACATTTCCTTCCAATCCGATGGCACCACAAGGCCTTACAGATATCCTAAGGGAGAATAAGAAACAGTACTCAGGCTGTCAGTCCCCGTCATCTATGGTAAACACCCCTGAGACGGGGAGCAGATAGACGCCTGCTGGAATCAAGGCCCCCACCCATGGCGTGGGGAGAGCCCCCGGGAGCCCCAACTCTGGCTTTGCCACCAGCTTGCTTTGTATACATACTCATGATTTGTTCATCATAAACCCAACAAGATTACATTTTGCTAAATGGAAGAGTAGAGTTTGCTCAGTGTAAATGTTACAAAACCGATGTAACGTTAAAAAGGCCAATAGCGAAACTTCACATTGAATAAGCTAGTCTTACCTTTCCTTTATAACCTGTTCTAGCCTGAATCTTCATTTTTCAATTAAAGATAATTCTGAAAATTCATGGTTTGTGTCCATGTTCATGTGCCCATCTGTCCGTACACACACACACACACACACACACACACACACACACACTCCCACTCCAAACCATCTTTGTATTTATACCACCAGCATCTGTCCATACATATGCTCACCCATTCACCCACTAATATATCCACACACACACCTATCCACCCAACCCATTCATATACTGACACATCTATACATGCATGCTTATATCTCCCCAACCATATATGGTCCTAGTCATCCATCCATCCATCCATCCATCCGTCCATCCATCCATCCATCTGTCCATCTATCCATGCATGATCCTCAATCCTTTGTCAGTGAAACTGAATACGCAGGTATATTGCTGGACAGGAAGTTTCACAGAAACCATGACTCAGCCCTGCCCTGTCAATGATGGTCTCTGAGGAGAAACATTGCATTGAATCACTTTATGGTGCCCACAGGAAGAGGTGCTCTGAGTAGGAAAGGCCAGAGAGCATGGTGAGCCCACCAGAGGAGAAAGGCTTTTCCTCACAGACCCAGAGAGGAGCCACAGAAGAAGTGAAGAGGAACTTGTTCACCTGAGGTGGGTCGGGGTCAACTCTAACAGGGTCCAGGGCACGCTATAATGTACTTCACAGCCTGAGCCCAAAGAAGCTGAGTGATGGGACCTTCTTGGATGTTGGTTTCAGCTTTAAGTGCACATCATGAAACTCTGTCCTGAACAGCCTGCATGATTCCTGAGGTTTTGAATAAGAGCTGCATTATTTTCAGGAAACAGCTGTCTGTGCATGAAGCACCTGAAGAGGGTCGTGCTCATACACACATGTGGCACTCACGGCTGGTGTCCGTGTGGGCACCTGCTGACCCCTCTGCTTGTCCTCTCTCATCCGAGCCTCCTAGACCAGGGTCCGAGAGAGCAAAAGGGTCCCCAAGGAAACAAACAGCTCATGGCACATAGGTGGTGAGCAGCTCTACCCAGGATATGACTCTTGAAAGCCGCAGAACGAGGGAGGGCATTTCGTGGGGACAGAGAGCTCCACGATGGCCAGGGAAGGGAGAGGACAGGAGGGGACACACCTGTGCCCATTGTGGCCCTTCACAGGAGCCCAAGACTGGGAACAACGCAAGCATCCAGAAACAGGTGACCAGGTAAAGAAACCATGGCGCAAGTGCAGGATGGAATACACTCACTGTAAGGAAAGGTGACGTCACCTTTCCCTGTGCTGTTTCACGGATGGATCTGGAGAGCATTGTGCAGAGTCAAGTTATTCCAGAGGAGAGGGACAGACACAGGATGGTTTCTCATGTATGTGGGAGGTAAAGGTAAAGGTAAAAGGTAAAGGCCCTCCCATTGATCATCGATTTGCTCGAGCGGGCCCAGTAACGTCTCCATTGGAGACTTTGTTGTTACTGTGTCTGGCATATCGAATACGTCACGGGGAGCTTGCCAGGCTCTGCCATGCGGGCGAGATACTCTCGGTAGCTTGCCGGGCTCTCCGAGAGGGGCGGAGGAATCGAACTCGGGTTGGCCATGTTGGCTGTGTGCAAGGCAAACGCCCTACCGCTGTGCTAGGTATGTGGGAGGTAAGGGGATAAACATGGCAGGGGGATAACGAATGCCACAGGACACAGAGCCTGAGGACTGGTTCTCAGTAGGGAGCAGAGTGCAGGGGAGGGGTGGGGTGGACCCCGAGGCAGGGCTAGCGGGGAGCAGACACTCGGGTGAGAGTGTGGGCTGGAGTGTTTTATGCACAAAATTATACAATAACACAATGTGATAACAGATCTGTAAATCACAGTGCCTAAAGTGAAAATAGAGAAGAGGGTAGGGCAGGGGACTCCCAATATTAAGGAAAATGCCATGATGAGTGGGACAGTGATGGCCACACGGGTCCAGACCCTGCCAGCATTCTACAGGTCCCTCGTGAATGCATGCACCCCTGTGACGAGTCCCCCCCCCCCCATAATAACCAGCCTGTGGGCCATCCTCCTGTGCCCTTGGATAGGACTCTAGGACTATCTGGCCTGGGGCCCTGTAAGGCCCGTGACACTGTGTGTTCTGGGACATTGGATCGCTCCTCATCAGCCCCCTGGGCCTGTTCACCTCTGCTGGACGCCTGCAAGTGAAGTCATGAATGTCAAGTGGCTCTTGTTCCAATCAAAGGTCCTCCCGCCTGGTGGGCATGAACGCTTCACGCTGCCGACAGTCAGAGCAGTGCCCTCAGCCTCCTGCAGGCACCATGGAGGACACAGCCCAGCCCCAGGGGAGCAATAAGAGGAGGCAGGGATGAGCTAGATGGTGCCTTGAAGGAGGACACGTCCCACTTGACACACTCTCCTGGAGCCGAGGGCACAGGTCCTGCCTAGGGAAGGGACCAGTGTGGGGCTATGGGAGGCTCTGGCCTGTCCCCAATGCTGGTGAGGCCAGAGCTGACACACAGCTAGAGGAGAGGCCATCAGCCGTGGGAGGGGTATTCCTGGGGCCTCAGAAATGGGTGGTTCTACCTGGCAGTGCTCAGGGCATGCTCCCGGCTCCATGCTCAGGACTCCTGGCAGGGCTCAGGGACCACCGGGTGCTGGGGTGGAGCCTAGGTTGACCAAGGCAGGAGAACCACAGTGTTCACACGGCACTAGCTCTTAGCTCCTGGAAGATGGATTTTACACATTTTCCCTCTTGATTTTATGAGAAACTAGAACACAAGGAACCTCAGAAATAGTTGGTGGGTCTTTTCCTTGGTCAGCCAGAGCAAGGCCCTAACTCCATTTCCTCTCCGCAGGAGAGCCCCTCCAGCCTTTGTGATGGGTGGACACCTGGGCCCTGCAACTGTCCCTGTGGAACTCGGATTCCTCTGTGCCTCTGTGAACTTCAGCACTCAGCAGCCCTAGGCCGGCTACTGGCCCCCAGGAATTTCCAGCAGAGGGAGATGGGGTCAGTGTCTACTTCTTACCACAGGAGAAAAAGCCGCACCTCAGCTCTCACTCACTCCGGCCCTCAGGGCACCTCAGCTCTCACTCACCACAGCCCTCAGGGTGCCTCAGCTCACTCTCACCCCCTGCATACCTCAGGGTGTCTCAGCTCACTCATTCACTGCATCCCTCAGGGCACCTCAGCTCACTCATTCACTGCATCCCTCAGGGTGTCTCAGCTCACTCACTCACCACATCCCTCAGCTCTCTCTCTCTCTCTCTAACATACAGTTCTGAGAGGAAGCGCTCACAACCCCTCAGCCCCATGGGAAGAGCTGCCTCAATAAGTCGCTTCCATTACGTGGGCACCTGACATGGCAGAGACACCACTGTTGGGGTAGGTGCGGCCTCGCTCACACTTGCCTTTTTGAAACCCGGCAGGCAGACTTTGGCCTTCTCCCCGAACTGCCACTTGCACTGTGTGTCGGCATCGTACAGCTCACCCGGCAACTTCTCCGGGTACTTGTACTCCTTCACAGGCTGTGGCTGGTCGGTGAGACACAGGGCCTGGGCTGAGCTGGAATGGGGAGGAAAGAGAAGAAGGGAAGGAGAGAAGGAGGGAAAGGAGAGAGAGAGGGGAGAAAGGAGGGAAGAAGGAGGGGAGAATAGAAAGAGGGAAGGTGAGGAGGGAAGGAAGGAAAAAAGGGAAGGAGGGATGGAGGGAGGGAGGGGAGGAAGGAAGGAAGGGAGAAAGGGAGGAAGGGAGGAAGGAAGGGAGGAAGGGAGGAAGGGAGGAAGGGAGGGAGGGAAGGACGGAGGGAGGGAGGGAGGGAGGAAGGAAGGAAAGAAGGAAGAAAGGAAGGGAGGGAGGAAGGGAGGAAGGAAAGGAGGAAGAAAAGTGGGAAGAAAGGGAGGAAGGGAGGGAGGAAGGGAGGGAGGGAGGAAGAGAGGAAGGGAGGAAGGGAGGGAGGGAAGGAGGGAGGGAGGAAGGAAGGAAGGGAGGAAGGAAGGAAGGAAGGGAGGGTGGGAAGGAGGGAGGGAGGGAGGAAGGAAGGAAGGAAGGGAGGGAGGAAGGAAGGAAGGGAGGGAGGGAGGGAGGGAGGAAGGGAGGAATGGAGGAAGGAAGGGAAGGAGGGAGGGAGAAAGGGAGGAAGAAAGGGAGGAACAAAGGAAGGAAGGAAGGAAGGAAGGAAGGAAGGAAGGAAGGAAGGAGGGAGGGAGGGAGGAAGGGAGGGAGGGAGGGAGGGAGGGGGAGGGAGGGAGGAAGGAAGGAAGGGAGGGAGGGGGAAGGAGGGAGGAAGGAAGGAAGGAAGGGAGGGAGGAGGGAGGCAGGGAGGCAGGGAGGCAGGGAGGCAGGAAGGAAGGAAGGAAGGAAGGAAGGAAGGAAGGAAGGAAGGAAGGAAGGAAGGAAGGGCGGACGGGCGTGAGAGGCTTCTGTGCATCCCCCGTGTCTGCGACCTATCAGACCTCCTGACCTGAGTTGGTCTAGCTGGACTCGGGAGCAGCAGCCCATGGAGCACTGGGCCTCTGGCCCACCCCACACAGCTGTCCTCCAGGTGAGGGCCCAGAGCACGGGGGAGGCTGTGGTCCACCTGCCCTGGCTGGTGTTAGACTGAGCAAATGCCTCAATTCCGCTCGCAGCTGCAACCTGGGTCCTACCTCAGGAACCGGTGCAGGTCCCGGCGGCTGCAGGGTGACCAGGAGAAGACCCCGTTGCGGCCAGCCAGGGTGGGGGACATGATGCTGCCCTCGGACTTCCTGCACACGTTGCCCTCCCCATCGTGGACCATGCCGAAGCTGAGAGAAGGGGGGGGGATAGAGAAAGTGAGGGAGAGGGAGAGAGAGGGAGGGAGAGAGAGGGAGAGGGAGAGAGAAAGTGAGAGAGAGTGAGAGAGAGGGAGAGAAAGGGAGAGAGAGGGAGAGAGAGGGAGAGAGGGGGGAAGAGAAGGACAGAGGGAGGGAGAGAGAGGGAGAGAGAGGGAGGGAGAGAAGGAAAGAGAGAGGAAGAAAGAGGGAGGGAGAGAGGGAGGAGAGAGAGGGAGGGAGAGAAAGAGAGAGAGAGGGAGAGAGAAAGTGAGAGGGAGGGAGAGAGAGGAAGGGAGAGAAAGAGAGAGGGAGAGAGAAAGTGAGAGAGGGAGGGAGAGAAGGAGAGGAAGGGAGAAAAAGTGAGAGAGGGAGAGAAAGTGAGAGAGAGAGGGAGAGAGAGGCCCTCTCAGGGTGGGGTCAGACACACCCAGGCGCCGTGCCACCCCTGCTCCTCAGACCAGAGGGGGCGCCTGGGACCCCACAGACACGAAACAGGGCCCCTGTGCTGGCGAGCCTGGGTCTACCCAAGGCACCGCTGACCGGGTCTCGCATCCTGCACCAGCTCTAGCCTCTGCTCAGCTGCATTCTGAGATGCCTGGGGAGCCAAGAGGCCACAGAAGACACCCAGCAGCGGGGAGCGCCCTCGCTGCCCACCCTCGCTCTGTGGGCTTCGCATAGGAGGACACACGGGACAGCAGCGTGACGTCCACTGACCGTCTGTGCCCATGTGGGCGGGGGAGGACAAGCACGGTCTTGTGAGCAGGTCATGGCTGGGCCCTGCAGTGCCCACCCCCACCCCGCCCGGCACCCCAGGAGGGCAGACCCCCCTCCTGGAGACACTCACTTGTGTCCAGACTCGTGCGCCACCGTGAGAGCCAGTCCGAGGCCGGAGTCCTCATTCACGGTGCAGCTGCGGTACTTACTGCACATCCCACTGATGGGCGCGAAGCCTGCGGGCACAGCCGGACACAGCACAGTGTGGGCACAGGAGCCAGGGAGTGCAGTGCCGTGCGGGCACAGCTGGGAACACAGAGCCGTGTAGGCACAGCCGGGAACACAGAGCTGTGTGGGCACTGCCGGGAGCACAGCATGGTGTGGGCACAGCCAGGGAGCATGGCGCCGTGCGGGCACAGAGGCAGGCAGCATGAAGCGTTGTGGGCACAGAGTCCAAGCAGGCTCCTGGCCTGCTCCGCCCTGCGTGAAGTGGGTCCTTGCCTTCATTCGGGGTTGACACAGGGACCCCAGCCCGGGGACAGCGCAGGAAGCAGCACTAAGGGTCTGGCTGGGTGCTGAGTCCCGAGCCCCGACCAGCCTGCAGACGCCACCCCACCCCAAGCTCCTGGGGTCCACCCAGTCCTCCCCACCCCCACAGGCCTCTAGGACCACCATGCAGGCTGCTGGACAACGGCCTGACCCCGGTGTGCCCAGGGCCACGCAGGGCTGCTGAAGCTCGCACTGGGAAGTGTCGGAGCTGGAGGGGCACAGAGCCTGCGGCCCCCTGCCCCAGCCTTCGGGAGGACAGGTGGTGATTACACAGGTCCAAGGAGGACGGGTGTCCTCTCTTGAAGGCCCGAGCTCCCGGCGGTCACTTCGGCAGGCCCGGGGAGGGCCGGGGACCCCCGCTCTCACCCAGCGTGTCGCAGGGGCCATTCTTCCAGGAGCAGATGTCCAGGCCCGTGAGCAGGATGGCGTGGTCGTGCCGGCGGCCGTCTTGTCCCTGCAGGCTCGCCTGCCACTGACAGAAGCTGCTCAGAGTGTGGTCTGCGTGGTGGCTGATGACCAGCCCCGGCTGAGGGAGGCAGAGAGGGAGGCTGGGCCACACGCCCTCCGCAGCCACACGCCCTCCGCAGTCACCTGTCCCTGCATGGCGCCATGCACCCCATGGGTCTGAGCAGCCCAGGAGCTGTCAGGTGGGCACGGGGCCCCTGTCTCTCTGTTTGTCTGTCTCTGCCCTTGGCACATTCCCAGCTGGCCCTGGCAGTGTGCTCAGTGGCCGAGAAGATGACATCTGTCCGTTAGTGACAGTGTTTGGGGGGGCTGGGCACTGCCCAATGTGCTCTACAGGCGTGGGGGACTCCACCAGCTAAGCTCGATCCGCCAGGCAGGCAGTTCCACTCAGGGCCAGGGATGCCATGCAGCTGGGCCGGTGATGGCAGCAGTGCTGAGACACAACTGGGGGTGCCCAGGACCCGTGTGTCACCTCTTGGCCCCACCGTGAATTGGAATCATTTGCCTTGATCTATGCCAAATTGTTTTCGACTTTTTTTTTGTAATCACTGTATCACTGTATCACTGTCATCCCATTGTTCGTCGATTGACTCGAGCGGGCGGGCACCGGTAAGGTCTCTATTCCTCCCAGCCCTGAGATTTTAGCAGCTTCTCCTCACTCATCTTTTCCCAACGATTGGAGGCTCGTTCAGGGTCAGGGGAATGAGATCTGTTGTCGTTACTGGTTTTGGCATATCGAATATGCCACAGGGAGCTTGACAGTCTCTGCTTGTGCAGGTGGGATACTCTTGGTAGCTTGCTGGGCTCTCTGAGAGGAATATATATATATAATTATATATACATATAAATATATATTTATATATGTATTTCTCTCTATGATCTGTTGCCTACTATCTGAACTCCATCAAATATGGTGTGGTAATTATGAAAAATGGGTAGGAAGTATGTCGCGCATTCCGGATAGTGGCCTGGAGCATGGTGGCAGTTGGGTAGTGGAGTTCGGCTGCCAGGGCTGGGTCCCTTTGGGCGGGAAGGGCTCTCACCCACCCCACTCACCCTGGGGCGCCCTGGGTGAAAACAGCCTGGCGCGGAGTCTGAAATTTTTTTTTTAATCACACAATCACAAATCACAAATCATCCTGTTATTCGTCGATTGCCTCGAGCAGGCCCCAGTAACGTCTCTTTCATCCTAGCCCTGAGATTATATTCAAGGCTCTTTAGGAGAATGAGACCCATCATTGTTACTGGTATTTGGCATATTGGGTACGCCATGGGGAGTTTGCCAGACTCTGCCGTGTGGGCAGGCTACATTCGGTAGCCTGCAAGTTTGTCCAAAGTAGGAATGAGATAATAAGATGTCATAATAAGATGTCGCGCGGCCGCAAATGCCCCCACATGGGCTGCCTGCAGCGGGCTTGGACCTTATGTGTTATGGGGCAGTAGCTCCCAGGGATCACGGCACACTCTGGCAAGACACCAGAGAGGGTGGAACTGATCTCACCCACCCAACTCCAGCACGGGCGCTGGGCATTGCAGACTGGGGAGCTCAAGAAGCCGCTCCTACTAGCTGGGCCCTAGATGCTCCCGGTCCTCCTGGGCCCTGGGTGGGCACCCGTCTCACGGAGGGGTATGCTGCATCTAGGGGGCTTGTTTGCAGCTAGGGGAGTGGGCGTGGCCTGCTTCAGTCTCAGCGAAGGGAAACTGAGGCCGTACGCCCTGAAGGGGAGTATAACCAGCCTATGAGGGGCCGAGAAAGGGAAATGAGGTTTCATGAACCAAATCTCAGGCACTGTCCTCGTGCACCTCATGGTCCTGCCCTGATCCCCCCGTAAGGAATTTCTTCCGATTCATGTTCTCATACGCAGTTCCAGATACTCCTTATGACCAGCACACAGACAATGTCCAGAGATGATTAAAATAACTGGACTGCAGCAGAGACCAAGTGTTAAAACTCTCTCTCTCGAGAACACAGGGGATTGCCCTGCCACAGAGGCAGAGGGGGGATGGGGGGATGGGGGTGGGGGGGATATTATCCATGGTGGTGGAAAATGGGCACTGGTGGAGGGATGGGTATTTGATCATTGTATAATCAAACCCAAGCACAAAAAATTGTAAATCTACAAATGTACCTCATGGTGTTTCACTAATAAAAAAAATTAAAAAAAATAAAAAAATAAAAAATAAATCATGCTTTATGTAAAAAAAAACTCTCTCTCTCTCTCTCACACACACACACACACACAGACACACACAGACACACAACACACACACACACGAAGAGCAAGATCCAGAGCCTGACAGGCCCAGCCGCCTGGTTTCCGGTCGCATACCTGTTCTTCTTCTAGAAGAATCAGCCCGACGACGGCGATGTTGATGTTCCCGCCGATCGTCCCGTCTTTGAACAGAGCCGACACCTGAGAGCACAGAGGAGAGGTCAGTGGCCCATGTGGCCATACTGCCTGACTCGGGCTCCAGTGAGGGTCCTGGATGCTCTGGCACACAGACTCACCAACTGACCCAGGACAGCCATGTCTCGGCCTGGATGGACCTGCAGCCCGGGACCTATGCCCTTCCCTGGCACCCGGCACAGTATATGGGCACAGGTTGGGCAGGGGGAGGTGTGGGCGGGTGGGAGGGGGGTCACTGCTGGGCTGGGCACAGGGGTGCAGGCCCCACACCCCCCGGCAAGGGCTCCAGAAGCCGTGAGAGAGGCCAAGAAGAGGCACGGAGGGAAGAAAAAGGCACGAGTGCAAACGTCAGGGCTGAGAGGGCTGGTAGGGGCCGTGCAGAGCCAGGACCCTGGGGTGGGTCTGGGTGAGGGACCCCACGGTGCCGAGAGCCCCTCAGGGCTGAGACCACAGCAGACTGAAGCGCCTTTGGGGGCACCTTCAACCTCAGGCCACACGGCTCTGGGTGGGGTCTGGAGGTCCTGACCCTGGGGGCCGCGTCCCTCCAAAGGCCATGAGTTTCAGTGACAGGCAGCACGGTGGAGAGTGGACACTAAGGGCCCTCGGGACAGCAGCCCCGCGCGGCCAGCATACGTGGGAGACCAGGACAAACCCTGACTGACCCTGACCAAGATGGACCCTGACCTTCACCCACGTCACAGGGGCTTGGACAGTTCCACAGGGCCTCATTCCACAGCCAGACTCCTCCCCAGCTACACACCCACAGCTACACACCCACAGCTACACATTCGAAGCTACACACCTCCACAACTACACACCCACAATTACACACCCACAGCTACACACCCCACAGCTACACACCTCCCCAACTACACACCCACAGCTACACACCTCCCCAACTACACACTCACAATTACACACCCACAGATACACACCCCACAGCTACACACCTCCCCAACTACACACCCACAGCTACACACCTCCCCAACTACACACTCACAATTACACACCCACAGATACACACCCCACAGCTACACACCTCCCCAACTACACACCCACAGCTACACACCACACAGCTACACATTCAAAGCTACACACCTCCACAACTACACACCTTCGCAACTACACACCCACAGTTACACACCCACAGCTACACACCCACAGCTACACACCTCCCCCATTACACACCCACAGCTACACACCTCTCCAACTACACACCCACAGCTACACACCCATAGCTACACACCCCACAGCTACACCCTCCCCAACTACACACCTCCCCCAAGTACACACCTCTCCAACTATACACCTCCCCCAAGTACACACCTCTCCAACTATACACCTCCCCAAGTGACATATCTCCCCAACTACACAACTCCCCCAACTACACACCTCCCCGACTACACACATCCCACAACTACACATCTTCTATACTCATAACAGCTCCCAAATTACGTGATTCCCACTACTATACCCCCCAATATTCATGAAAACTCACAACTACGCATTCCTACTGCCATACTCCTCTCACGGCTGCATGCATCCCATAACCACGCACCACTCACAGCCATAACATCTCCCACAGCAGCTGCTGTTCCAACAACAGCTCTCACAGCTGTGGCACTTCCCACGACTACACTGCCCACAAAATATGCTCCCACTAATGACCATTTCTCCCACAAAGACTACACCTCCTGATGAGTACAGCCCCACATCTGCAATACTCCCACTACCACAACACCTCACCCAAGCTCATACCTCCCACCACCACAATGTCTCCCACATCTACAATTCCCACGTCTACAATGCCTCCCACATGTAGATGCACAATACCTTCCACATCTACAGTTTCTCTCATATCTACAATAATTCCCATATCTACAATACCTCTCACATACACAATAATTCCCATGTCTACAGTACCTCCCACCACGAAAATTCCTCCCACATCTGCTATACCTCCTACAACTATAATACATCCCACATCTACAATTCCACACCTGCAATTACCCCCTAACACACACAAACACACACACACACTACAATTCCTCCAATTTTACCCTGGCAGCCTTGGGAAAGGTGATTTTTGGTGTGTCCATAATAAAAGAAAGGGGTTTTCAGGGTGGAGCTTTTCTTGTACACAAGACATAAAATCCATAAACAAAAAGTAGACTGTAACACACACACACACACACACACAAAACAGGTGCAGCACATGTGCACATTCCTACCATGTTGAGAATGGCTAGCACCAGAATGTCACACACACATGCACACAGACACGTGCACACAGACACGTCAGCACCAGAATGTCACACACATGTGCACGCACACACACATGCACACGCACACACTCACACATGCACACACGTATACACACACACGCACACATACACACACACTCCTACCATGTTAAGAATGGTCAGCACCAGCATGTCACACACATACGCACACACACACATGCACACGCACACACTCACACAAGCACACACATGTATACACACACACGCACACATACCCACACACACTCCTACCATGTTAAGAATGGTCAGCACCAGAATGTCACACACATGCGCACGCACACACACATGCACACGCACACACTCACACACGCACACACATGTATACACACACACGCACACATACACACACACACACACACACTCCTACCATGTTGAGAATGGTCAGCACGTAGGTGGTGACGTTCTCCTGGCCGTGGTTCTGTACCATCTCCTTGTCAACCACAACCAGCATCTCCACATTGTGTTCTTCGTTGGTGCGTGTCCGCTGGAGTGAGCGCCTGGGCCGGGAGTGGGGCGCATACTCGTCAGGCAGGATGAAGGCGTCCTTGGGGGGAGGCTGGGGCATGTCTGTGGAGATCGTGGGGAGAATGAGGGCAGGTCGTGCCCAGTCTGTCCCAGCATGTGCTGTGTGGGCGCAGAGTTTAGGGGTGGGTGTCCATGCCGTGAGCTGTGTGAGCGCAGAGGACGGCGCGGGAACAGAGTCGCTCTGTCTGGGCGTAGAGACCGCTGCCGCCTTCTGAGCAGAAAGGCTGTGCTGCTGTGATCCCCCATCTCAGCTTGAGGCTCAAGGGTGCCGGACACGCGGCAGCGAAGAGCACAGCCAGGCTGAGCGTCAGCACCTGCTCTGCGGGCCAGCGTGGACGCGCTCACCCACCAACCCCTAGGTCTGTTGGTGGGTTTGTCTGTTCCCAAGAGATGGGAGTTTCCTCAAGACACACGGCTCTGCCCGCTTCAAGGGACAGCCTGGGACACTGTCCTCACGGGGGGCATGTCACATACTCACACGGTGTGCACAGCACACACACATGCACACACTCACATGTGAGCATGCATGGGCCTCCCTGCACACACGCACAAGCATGTGCACATGCCACAGAGCAAACACATGGACACACATGGACCTGTGCACACACACACACTTGTACACATCCACATACACCTCACAACATTCACACAGGGCACTATGGACCTGTACACACATGGGTACACACACATGCACATACACGACACAGCGCTCACACAGGGCACTCTGGATCTGCACACATACTGGTACACACACACGGGTACACGCACATGCACACACACCACACAGTGCTCACACAGGGCACTATGGGCCTGCACCACACTGGTACACACACAAGGGTACACACACATACACATACACCACACAGCACTCACACAGGGCACTATGGGTCTGCATACATACCAGTACGCACACAAGGGTACACACATGCACATACACCACACAGCACTCACACAGGGCACGCTGGGCCTACACATACACGGGTACACACACAGGTGCACAGCTGCAGCTCATGGCTCTGGCCTGGACCCTGAGTCCTGCAGAGCCCTGTGGCATCCTCGTGGGTGCTAGTGGCTTGGCCCTGCTGCCGGGGCTTCTCCTCCACCCTGTGGGCTTCAGGCCTGGCTCCCTGGGCTGTACCTGCCAATCCTGGGGCCTGGCCAAGGTTCCCTGCAGCCCTGAGCTCCCCGCCAAGGACCCAGTGAGGTCCCAGCTGTGCTGGGCACACTGCCTACCTGGCCCTGCCTCACCCAGAATAGCCCTCCTCCTCCTCAGTGCCTCCTGCTGGTGGGGCCCTTCTCATCCCACCTGCTCGTCCTTCAGCCTCCTTGGACACCGCTGCCCCCGCTTCCTCTGCCTGCTGCCCCTGGGGTCTGGGGGGTAAGATTTCAGAGACACGGGGACACTTTCTAGGGCACACCAGGTCCAGGCATGCTAGGCGGGTTCTTTCCTGGGGGGGGGGGGGGGGTCTTGGTACGGTGGCAGGCGATGCGGCCCTTCACCCACCCAGAAATGTCCAGGAAGCTCCATGACCACATATGCCGTGGGCCAATAACAGGGGACCAGAGAGAGAGAGAGACAGAGACAGAGACAGAGATAGAGATACAGAGAGAGAGACAGAGACAGATAGAGACAGAGACACAGAGAGAGACAGAGATAGAGACACAGAGAGACAGAGACACAGAGAGAGACAGAGACACAGAGACACAGAAAGACAGGGACAGAGATAGAGACAGAGAGAGACAGAGACACAGAGACACAGAGAGAGACAGAGACACAGAAAGACAGAGACACAGAGAAAGAGACACAGAGAAATACAGAGACAGAGAGAGACAGAGACAGTGACAGATAGAGACAGAGACACAGAGACACAGAAAGACAGGGACAGAGATAGAGACAGAGAGAGACAGAGACAAAGACACAGAGAGAGGCAAAGACAGATAGAGACAGAGACTCAGAGACAGAGATACAGAGACAGAGAGTGCAGTGCAGGGCAAGCTTCCTGGGGGCTCACGCTGCTGGAGAAGAAGAAAAGAGTGAGGGAATCTTCCAGAAAGCCCTGACTTGTCAGCGGCTCCCACTCGGGTGCCTTCGACAACACAGACGGCTGGGTCGTACAGCCCCGTGAGCCCTGGGCTGCCATTGGCAGAGGAGGGTGGAGGAAAGGACGAGCTCAGGAGGGAAGGCGGCCCCCACCTGGCTCCCGGCTTCAGACCCTCCAGCAGAGCCAGCAGCTCTCTGCACCCGCCCTGTCCTCAGAGACCCCCACCCCGGGCGAACCGGGCAACCCCTCCATCTCTGCCCCCCACCCTGGGAAGGCCCAAGATGCCCTAACATACACTTCCTGCTCTGTCCACAGAAGTGCGGCCTGGGGGGCCGGAGGCTGAAGTCCCCTTGCAGCTGCGGATCCTTGGGGGGCCTGTGGGTCCGGGCTGCCGCCATCCTGGTCCTCGTCCCCGGGGCCTGTGAGGCTGTGGATCGCTTGTACAGGACATGGGAGGGGGACCCAGGCCCCCCTGAGGAGCCGAGGCCCCCCGCTGCCAGGTGTGTGGGGAGGGGCGTCAGGAAGTAGTCGGCTTCGGGGGTCCGGATCAGGCCTGACTGGGAGACAGGAGAGGTGGTTAGGCCGCGAGCGGGGCCGCCCACCCAGCCTGGCCCTGCCTTCCTGGGTGCCCCCATCCCTGCCCCCGCCTTCCCGTTACTGCTGGCACCCACTTTTGTGGTTGAGGCAGGAGCTATGATGTGACAGTTAAGGCCCCCTCTCTGGGAGGTGGAGCCGGGGGCAGCCTTCCTGGGCTGCCCACTGAGACCCAGAATGCGGGGTTTCGTCCCATGGGCTCAGTGTCTGCCACGTCCAGCTCAGACTCAGGTCTTCGAGTGGCGACTCTGCTTACCTGTGGCAGGGCCATGCCCTGGCTGGGGCGGCTGAGGAGCTGGGATGGGGCTGGGGCCTCCCGCACCCAGGTGTGCTCTGCGCCCAAGTCCCTGGCCCTGTCTAGGGTCTGCTTCTAGAAGCTGCGACCAGGAATCCACATCTGTGCCTGCTGGGCTGTCAGGATGGATCCCGCAGCCCATGGCCGGGTTACCCTCCTCAGCTGTAGGACAGCGCCAGGAACAAGCCCCTGAGAGTGGCACCACGCCAGCAGCTTCGCAGCAGCCCCAGTGAGCGGGTGTGTGTGAGCTGGTATGCGTGAGCTGGTGTGTGTGAGCGGGTGTGTGTGAACAGGTGTGTGTGAGCTGGTGTGTGAGCAGGTGTATGTGAGTTGGTGTGTGTGAGCTGGTGTGTGTGAGCGGGTGTGTGTGAGTTGGTGTGTGTGAGCTGGTGTGTGTGAGCGGGTGTGTGTGAACAGGTGTGTGTGAGCTGGTGTGTGAGCTGGTTTGTGTGAGTAGATGTGTGTGAGTTAGTGTGTGTGAGTGGGTGTGTGTGAGTTGGTGTGTGTAAGTTGGTGTGTGAGCTAGTGTGTGTGAGCTGGTGTGTGTGAGCGGGGTGTGTGTGAGTTGGTATGTGTGAGCTGGTGTGAGTGGGTGTGTGTGAGCCGGTGTGTGTGAACAGGTGTGTGTGAGCTAGTGTGTGAGCAGGTGTATGAGCTGGTGTGTGTGAGCTGGTGTGTGTGAGCAGGTATATGTGAGTTGGTGTGTGTGAGCTGGTGTGTGAGCTGGTTTGTGTGAGTAGATGTGTGTGAGTTAGTGTGTGTGAGTGGGTGTGTGTGAGTTGGTGTGTGTAAGTTGGTGTGTGAGCTGGTGTGTGTGAGTGGGTGTGTGTGAACAGGTATGTGTGAGTGGGTGCGTGTGAGCGGGTGTGTGAGCTGGTGTGTAAGCTGGTGTGTGTGAGTGGGTATGTGTGAGGGGGTGTGTGTGTGAGTGGATGTGTCTGAATGGGTGTGTGTGAGCTGGTATGTGAACGGGTGTGTGTGAGTTGGTGTGTGAGCTGGTGTGTGTTAGTGTGTGCGTGAGTAGGTGTGTGTGAGTAGGTGTGTGTGAGCAGGTATATGTGAGTGGGTGTGTGTCTCCCGCAGGAATGCCAAGTGCCAGTGTCCTGCCCACTGCGGGCGTCGGGCTGGCTTTCAGCCCCGTCGTACATGAGAGCCACCCTCGAAAGGGTCCCCGCGCAGAGGCCCGGACCCCGCTGAGAGCTGGTGGCGCCGTCCAACTCCTCTGCTCCTTCCCAGAGCCTCGAGTGCCCAGGACATGACCAGGCCCAGTGGCTGGCAGAGAAGGGGTGCCCAGCTGGCATTGGCCCACGTCAGCGCCTAGCCTGGGTCATGCTAGAGGGCTCGGTGGGGGAGGACACGTCCTGGAGAGCGCCAGCTCTGGTCTTCTGGAGGCAGGAGGAGCAGCTGAGTGAGGGCGTGCTCTCCCTCCTCCCTCTAGGTCTTGGGTTGGAGGCCAGAGGGATGGAGCCTGAACTGGGGTGAAGTGAGGACAGTGGTGAGGGGCTCCGGGTCCCTGCAGCTGGTGCAGTGACTTTATCCAGCAAAGCCATGAAAGCTGTTGCCGTGGAAATCATCATCTGACCTAACCAACGACAGGACTCCAGTGAAAGGGGCAGCTGCCTTGTTCCTGTGGGTCCCTGGGCGGCCGGGCCCTTCCTGTCTGGGCCTCTGGCTTACTGGCACACTGGGACTTCCTGTGCCCAGAGCGTGAGGGCCAGCACTCCAGGCTAGGGTAGGGCTTCCCATTTTGGGACGGGCAGGATGGTCTTCCTGCTGTGGCTGGGGGGTGGAGTGGCATCTCCATGGTCTTAGGGAAAAGTCAGCGTCCCTGGGCCCAGGAGGTGCTGTGGGCAGAGTCGGCTTCTCTGAGATCACGCACAGCCCAGTGGTCACGACGGGAGGCAGAGGGGAGAGGGGACTTGGTCAGTTATTAACAAAGAGATCAGCTATGTGGGTGGGGGGCACCTCCTGGGGCCCAGATGAATCCTGGGAATACGTGGAGGTGGGGGTGCAGCTGCTTTGAGCTGCTCTGGCCCCCCACAGCCTGTCCCCCTGCCCCCCAGCCTAGCGGGACACTAAGTGGGCACTGAGCAGAGGCTAAAGGCAAAACCCTTCTTGCCTGGCAGCTGACCAGGAGTACCTGGGCACTGGACTGTGTTGCACCTGGGCTGGTGACACCCCACAGGGAGCTGCTCCGTGCTGGGGAGAGGAACCAGCTTAAGCATTAACTTAAATGAAAACCAGAAAGATTTATGTATTTGCTGAAAACCTCCCGTCAGGGTAGGAAACGGGCCTCCTTGCTCTCCGAATCCCTCTCAGGACCTTCAGCTGCCCTGGTTCAGAGCAAATATCTCTTCTCCCAGTCCCAGGGATTCGGTGGGAGGAAAGACAGGTCAGTCAGACACCCACAAATGTATCTTTGTAAAATAAGATTGGCCTGCAAGAGCATCAGTGTAAGCACCACACTGACTCTGCACGAAGCACCAACACCCCGCCAGCACTACGGGGCCCTTCCCTTCACTCCCCCGGCTGACTCACCATCCCGGGCCCCTTCCCTTCCCTTCCACCCCCTGCTGAGTGCACCACCGTCTCTTGATCCATTCAGCGGCCACTGTGCGCTTGCACTGATCCCAACTCTGAGCTGTTCTAACCAGGACTGCAATGAACTCAGATTCTGCTCCATTAAGAATCTTCTGCATCTCATAGGAATAATGACCAGAATACAAAAACAGCCCACAGACGGGGAGAAATTAGTTGATCGCCACTAGTCTAACATGTGGGGAGACAATATGGACATTACTCAAAAATCAGGAACTGAGTTTCCTTACCACTGGAGAGATACCGTGAGCAGCATGGATGGACCCTAAGGTGGTCCTGTAAAGCGGTCACAATACTCAACAACAGGATATGATGCAACCCCACTGAAAATGGGGAGAAGAGCTCCAAAGAAGACACAACAACGACCAAGAGTCGCGTAGAAAAAGTGCTCATCCTCACTGATTGTCAGAGAACTGCTATTCAGAGTGACTGAAGGACTCCGTCACACCAGTGTGCATGGTGGAAGCCTCAGTGCTGTGAGGATGAGGACGCTCACCTGCCCCAGACCTCTGAGTGACTCGGGGCTGTGTGAGAGTCTCTGTGCTGTGTCCCCAGGCAGGGCACAGAAGCACGACCAGCCCCGCCTTGGTATGACTTAGCAGCGTGTTGCGAAACTGGCTTTAAGTAAACATGCAAGAGAACCTCAGAACAGAAACATTAGGCTGTTCCCCAAGAGCTCTGACTCCTGATAATCTGCGGGTCCTGTTAATTCCCTCTGTGGAGCAAGAACTCTCTGAAGTCCCCTCAGACACCCCCTGCAGCACTGCAGTCTCATCCCGCTCACGAGTCTTCTGCCATCGCTGCCCCTGATTCTCGTCCATCTCCTGCTCCCCCCAGCTTCAAAGGCCCTTCTGGGCAATCCAGCCTAAGAACGGACTCCTGGAAAACAGGACCCTAGTGTCACAGGAAGATCTCTGCAGTCTCATCAGCAAACGAGTCCAGCATTGCCCTTTCCTTCCTAGTGGCTATAGCATTCCGTATTTAAATAACCCCTGATTTCAAAACACACGGGCCTTGGTAACTGATAAGACTGGTATTTTGATTGCCCTCGATAGTCAATTGTATTAAAAAATAGGAAAAAAACCTCACTTGATTATCTTTCTGCATTATTCACTTGCAAGCTTATTTCCAAGCTTGGCTTAACTATGAAAGGTTTGCTTTTTCATCTTATCAAAGTTTTTCTCTACTGAGCCAAGAATGTTTCCTGAAAACTCATAAAGTGTCTGCTGGTCACCCCCTCCGCGCCGCCCAGCAGCTCTGGGGAAAGCCACGAGGTGATTATTAACCAGCGGCAGCCAAGGCGGGGTCCCTGGGCTTTGCAAAGGAGCTTCCAGGGGGTTTGTGCCTCCAAGGGCCAGTTTGTCCGTCTTTCACCCCGGGAAGCCTGGAACTAACAAGCACTTGGAGGAGAAGAATCTGGGTCAGTTAAAATGGTGTTTCACGGCCACGGCCCCAGAAGCACAAGGACTTAATGCAGAACCCAGCAGCTTGGAGCAGAAAAGTGAACGGACTCTGCATTGATCCAGGCCATCAAGTCTGCCGGAGGGGAAAGGGTGTTGCCCCATTCGCCCTCTCCTCTCTGGAAAGAAAGATGGCGGCCACATGGGAGCCTTGTGGACAGCAGGTATGAGCCGGGAGTGTGGGGGCGACTAAAACCTCATGGGAAGGGGGGCGTTTCGGTCCGCCCTTCACGCCCTACCGAGGCCACCGGTTGCCCCCCGCGAGCGGCTCTCCAGCACGGCCAGGACTCCGGAACACAGAAACCAATTTCTTAACTATCTGACTTTCAGTAGAAATACTTCCAGGGTCAATAGGTAAAAGAGCAGAAATCCAAAACCAACATTTAATTCTTGAACCCAGCCGTAGAAAGCAAATCACTTCACAATGCTTTTTCAGCATGTCTGATTTGGGGGGGGGGGGGTAAACTCTAAATAATAGTGGTGAATCTTTTATTGAAACAATGAATCTAATCAAAGCAGATAGAGTGTTAACTAGAATTCATCTGCTTCACAGGGACGGGGAGGGGTGGGGGGTGGGGTTTTATTGGGGTTCTTCATGGTAAAAAATAAG